TAGGAATCAGGATACATGCGATGAGAGGCGACGACGACAATAGCGGGCACACAGGAAACGTAGCCGCTATAGCACGGGAAAGCTAATCGTGAGAAATGGACCACGCCTATTCTTTAGACGTCCACAGATTGTGGTAAAAAGAAAGTGAGCCTTTACGTTCAGCGGGACTCATCCATATTTGTATGCCCACTGCCCAGACTAGGTACCGCAGTAGATGAGGCAGAAGGCACAAGGATGGATATCTCAGCACACTGCCTTATTCAGCCACGCTTAGCACCGCCACAGGGACCCTACTTAGCTCCGTTCACACCGTTGTGCTGTGGCGTGGCGTCGACCCGTTGCCCATCCGTTGCTGGGGAGAGATATTATGTCATTGGTAAACGTGGTGGGTGGTAGGTACTTCGTGCATTCACTCTGGTACATACCCACGCACAACTACCCCCCAATCCTGCACCCATATACACGTCGCACCTTTTCTGGACGTGACGAGAGAGCTTGCGATAGCCAAAAAGCCCACAGACTTTGGAGACTAAGCTTTGAGCATTCCAGGTCAAATTCGCTGCTTATGAGTCTCTTATGAAGTAGGTTCAGCCCACAATTGCTTCTTTTTTTTTTGTTTGTTTTTTGTTCTTCTTTTGGGAAACATCCCAACGAAGTTCGGTGTCACTGACCCCTCCTCCAACATAATAGAAAGCCTGGCGCCGACTTTTGCTTTCGCCCAAGAAGCAACATAACTCTCGAAGAGCAAGCCAACATCTCCAAGTCACCTTGCAAGCAGCCGCCGCTATCTATCCCTGTAGGCGAGGACCAGTCGCGGTGTTCATACAAAACAATCATGGTCAATCAACGCCATCCCGTCAAGGGCCCTTTGCGCCCAATCAACCCCAACGACGACTCGCACTCCTCTAGCAGCCGCGAAGTGCCGAAGACATCAACACCTAGCAAACAGGCTCATGACACCCAGAGTAGCTCTGCGAGGCCCCAGAGCCGTGGCACAGCCTCCCTAGATCCCGATTCGCTATCCTCCAGATTCGACGCTATGCGTGTGTCAACCACGCCCAAGGGCAAGCCGCCGCCAAATGCTACTAACATGTCTGCTCGCCGCATGCCACCTCCACAACGGTCAGACAGCCCCGACGTCGTTGAAATCACGAGCGTCGATTTCAAGCAACCGTCATCGTCGAGACCAAGCTCCATGGAAAGCCAACCTAGTCAATACGAGCAATCAATGCTGCACTCTGAGGCCCTAGAGTCATTCTTTTCAGACACCAAGCGGCACGACCCCTTCCATCCTTCTTCATCCCCACGGCCTGTGTTTGGCCACCCGACCAAGATAGTGTCGTCTCTTAAGCAAAAGGCGGCAGGCATCTTCAACGAGCGAACGTCTCGACCCGAGCATCACAGAGCTCAGCAGGTGTCTGTACCTGCCGTACCACTGTATCAAGACCAAAAACCTGCGCCTCTCACTCTCTACAGCTCTATCGGACCCGATGCGAACCCTTCCACATATCGACCGACCGGCAACTTTGATGATGCCGATTTCTACACCGATCCAGCCAAGGCTTCTGCGGACTTGAAAGCACTCCTGGAGGGCGGCATGGAAGATGACGAGGAGGAGTATCAGGAGAAACAGGATACAGAAAAAGACGGCAAAGATGGTAGTATGGAAGGTCTCAAGGTGAAACTCCTGCCTCATCAAGTCGAGGGTGTCGAGTGGATGAAAGGCCGTGAACTTGGACCCGTCAAGAGAGGCAAGGTTCCCAAGGGTGGTATCCTGGCAGATGACATGGGTCTTGGCAAAACTCTCCAAACTATCGCTCTCATCCTGAGCAATCAGAAGCCTTCCAAGGGCGAGAAGGGCTACAGAAAGCATTTCGATGGCATTGAGAAGACAACATTGGTCGTGGCACCTCTGGCCCTGATCAGGCAATGGGAATCAGAGATCAAGGAGAAGGTGGTGAAATCGCACGGATTAAAGGTATGCGTTCACCACGGGCCCCAGCGTACTAAGCGCTTCAAGGATCTCGCGCTGTACGACGTTGTCGTGACCACCTATCAAGTGCTTGTCTCCGAATGGGGCCACTCGTCAGAAGACGAGAACGGTGTCAAGGCAGGATGTTTTGGTCTTCACTGGTGGCGTGTGGTCCTTGATGAGGCTCACACCATCAAGAACCGCAACGCAAAGTCGACAAAAGCTTGCTATGCTTTGCGGTCGGAATACCGTTGGTGTTTATCTGGAACACCAATGCAGAACAACCTTGAAGAGTTGCAGTCTTTGATCAAATTTCTCAGAATCAAGCCCTATGATGACCTCAAAGAGTGGAAGGAGCAGATTGAGAAGCCACTCAAGAATGGCAAGGGTCATGTCGCTATTCGTCGTCTCCACAGCCTGCTTCGGTGCTTCATGAAGCGTCGCACGAAGGAAATTCTTAAGGAGGAGGGCGCCCTCAATCCTGGTGGCAAGCCAACCAAAGAGGGTGAAAAGTCTAGTACCGGCTTTAAGGTCACCGAGCGCCAGGTTGTGACGGTTGCCACTGAATTTTCCCCCGCGGAACGCCGCTTCTACGACAGACTGGAGGCTCGAGCTGATGAGAGCATCGAGCGCATGTTGAAGGGCAAGGTGGACTATGCTAATGCTTTAGTCCTGCTCCTGCGACTTAGGCAAGCTTGCAACCACCCGAAGCTGGTCGAGGGAAAGCTTGACAAGGACAAGGATGCACTCTCGACCGACGCGGGCCAAAAGAACGTATCGGCAGACATCGACGCCCTCGCCGATATGTTCGGTGGCATGGGCATCGTCACAAAGACCTGCGGCATTTGTGGCCGGGATCTGCCCAAGGATATTGCCAAGAGCGGGCAGGATACTTGTCAAGAATGTTACGATGATCTTGCATACTTCAAAGAGCATGAGACGCCAAGAAGAAAGAAGCCCAAGTATAGAAAGGGCAAGTTAGGCAAGGTGAAGAAGGTTGTAGAGCAGAGTTTGGTTGCCGATGATGAGGACGAGAGCCCACAGAAGCCCAAGTCTCGGCGGCCTAGGCAACGCAATGTTGTCATGGATAGCGACGACGAGGAGGCGGAAGGTGACTGGCTCGTTCCCGAGGACCAACAAGGCCAGCTCCGCATGGGCAAGGCCGGAGGTGAAGAAGATGAGAATGCAGAGGGTGGCGGAGACTGGATCGGATCTGAAGACTCGAGACACGGGTCTGAAGATGAAGACGGCGGCAGCAACCTCGACAGCTTCGTTGTCAAGGATGATGGGGTCAAGCCCGAGGACGTGGATGATAGTCTTGTTTCAGACGTCAGCCTTCCCTCGATAGCAGCGATAGCATCGCAGCTCGATGAGAAGTATAGGTCATCCCAGTCCTCTGAGGCTGACTCCGAGTCTGACTCGGAAGAAGATACCGGGGTCGACGAGTCGGAAGTATACTCTGACCGAGACTCACGCTACAAACCTAACGGCCAGGTATCGCAGATTCTCGCGTCCGCCAAGATCCGCCAAATGATGCAGCTCCTGCACAAGGAGACCGACGAGCACAAGTTCATTGTATTCTCGCAGTTCACCTCAATGATGGACCTTGTGGAACCCTTCTTCCGCAAGGAGGGCCTCAAATTCACGCGCTATGACGGCAGCATGAAGAACGACGAGCGCGAGGCTAGCTTGCACCGCCTGCGCAACGACAAGAACACGCGCATCCTGCTTTGCAGTCTCAAGTGTGGCAGCTTGGGTCTCAACCTCACTGCAGCCACCCGAGTCATCATTCTCGAACCCTTCTGGAACCCTGTAAGTTGTTGGACCAATAGACACGCTTTGTCTGTAGCCTAGGTTGCTAACGTGTAATCTTTCCCCCCAGTTTGTTGAGGAGCAGGCCATTGACCGAGTTCACCGCCTCACACAGACAGTCGACGTCGTCGTCTACAAGCTCACCGTCGAGAAGACGGTAGAGGAGCGTATCCTCCAGCTGCAAGAGAAGAAGCGTCTGCTCGCGGAGACGGCCATCGAGGGAGGCATGAAGAAGGAGGCGTTCAAGCTCGGCTTCAAGGAGATCATGGATCTGTTCCGCCGCGATGACTCTCACGGTGCCGGTGCCGAAAACCACGACAACTATGTTGACCAGTCGCGCAGCACCTCGGCGCGAACCAGTAGACAAGGCTCCCCCGAGATCGGAATGCTGCAAAAGTCCCGTAAGGCGCCGAAGAAGGCGGAACACGAGATGTTTGGTCGCCGATGGTAGGCGAGACAAGACTCGGCCGTACCTTTTGTCTCCTATTTTTCATGCTTAGATGATGGATTCGGTGATGATGGCGGAACGATAGATGGTGCAGAGACGGAGAGGCTTTGTCGCTGAGATTCATCCCATCACAGCATTTAGGCGTACCGCGATAAGGGGAGGGAGGCATCTGCAGAGTAGCAGCCCTGCGTGGCGTCTATGGTGATTTACGGTGTTCGTATTAGCCCATGATTTATTATGAAACGAAGACAAGAATCATTGCACGCAGGGAAGGAACAATAGTGACGACCTTAATCGAAAACAGGCCTCTAGACTGCAGGGCAAGTTGTGCCAGACAAAAGATCCGGCCGGCTCCAACCCAGAGAGCTGCCCAAAACTCTTCCAAACTCTATGCACCAAGCGTGACGACGCAGATACGTGGAACATATTTTTGATGTCAAGTATGGTACAGATCTTAATTACGTACTGATCAGCCCCCTTCCCCGTCATGCCTTTCTTTCTTGATGTCCAGTCGACAAATTGCTAGTTGTGGGTATGAGTGAGGCTCTAGGGACCTAGCGGGATACATTCGTTTCTCCCCTCGCACTTTCATTCGCGCTCCTCGAGCCAAAGCGTTCAAAAACATCACTGCCAAAAGACCTCCCATAGAAGATGGTGGAAAACTTCGCTAGCGTACCAGAATGAATGTCGTCATTAAACCAACTTGGTCCTTCCTTCTAAACTCAATCTCTCAGTGAGTGGCAGGCTCCGTTTCGACTCGTTCCTGCTCTAATAAACACCGCTTTGGCGGTAGTAATCGCGGGCAGGAGGAGCACTCGGACCATCTGCCGCAGCACCAGGAGGAACGTATGCTCTGTACTGCGGCTGTGCTCCCTGGCTTGGCAAGCTCTGTCTGGCGTCATAGGCAGCTCCGCCGGGCTGTAGGGGTGGCGGTGTCAGGACTTCAGATCGAGCAGGGCCCGGAATCGGCGGTGCCGCTCCGGTCGGCACCGGAGGAGGGGCTTGAGTCGGGGCGTTGTTGTAGTTGTCCTGGCCCTGAGTCCCTGGGGGCTGGTAACTTTGATACTGTGGTTGTTGCGGGGCAGATGGCGCAGACGGTTGCGATGGTTGCGCAGTCGGCGCTGATGGTTGGAAGGAAGACGGCGGCGGCGCGGGTACGGTGGTGTTTCCGACGGCTGGACTAGAGGTGTTGTTGCTGTTGTACGGATCATCCTGAGAGTAGACCGAGGATGTGTACGTGGCGGCTGAGCTCGGGTTGTGGGCCGCGATGGGCGAATCGTAAACAGAGGTGGCCAGCTCCTGAGCACCGTATGTGCTCTGGGGTCGCTGGTTAGGAGGCTGCGAGTAAGCAGTGTAAGCGTTGGCTGTAGGAGGCGATGTGTTAATTGGTGCCGGGGCTTTCCCCGTGGACGGAAGGCGGGGGTTGTGTTCACGCTGGGGATACGGATGGTTTTGCGCGGGAGGCGGACCACCTGCTGAGGGCACCTCGGCACCGGCTACGTAGAAAGGAGCGGGCGTCGCTTGTGCCGGACGCTGAAAATTCGGCGAGGGCGTAGACTGGGGGTATTGTGGTTGCTCTATATACAACTAGTCAAACTCGATGCACTTCAAGTGGCATTCAAGGTAGTTCACCTTGGGGCGCGGGAGTGTAGAATCTCTGCTCCTGCTGCTGTTGAGGAGGACCCTGAGCAGGATACCCTGCCGCTGGCCCGGCTGGGCCTGGATACCCGCCAGGGCCTGACCTCATGGCGTATTGATGGTAGCTGGGCTGGGGAGGGTGTGACATGGAGGATTCCAGCAGGGACTCGTAGTCACGGCGAGCCTTGATGAACTTCTCGTTCAACTGCGTGAAGTCATCTGTCCAGTGTCAGCTTTGGGTGCGTACGACGGGTGGAGGAGGGCATTCACCCTTCTTCTGAGAATACTTCTCAATAAGCTTGATCAGCTTGGGCCGGATAGCCAAGGTTTGGTGGTAGAGTTTCTGCGGAGGTGCTGTTAGTCAACCGTATGTGCCCCCCGCCTGAAGGCCGGCCTTCAACTTACAGAAATTTCCTCGTTATCCTCCTCTCGCGGCGCCGTGTTGGATGTGCTCAGCAGCGTCAGTAGCTTCTCGACGTTCTTGATCTCGGCAAAAACCTCGGCCTCCATCTGAGCCTCGCGGGCCAACTCGTCGGGGGTGGGATCTGTGAGCTTCTCAACGTAGTTGAGAGGGAAAATACCCGTCTTGCCTTTGAGCGAACCCCGCCACCAATCCTTGTAGACGGACTCTAGCACCGCGATGACGTCGCCCTTTTTGAACTCCAACTCACCGGGCTCCGACGGAACGAAGTCGTATAGCGCGCGGACCCTTGATACGGTAGCTGCTGTCGTGCCCGCGGGCACAGGTGTGGGTTGACTTTGGGGCTGAGGCTGGGGCTGGGAGGAAGATCCAGGTGCAGCAGATGAAGAAGAAGCAACGGGCTCGGCAGCCTTCTTCTTGCGCTCCTCATCCTGCAGCGACAACTTCAGAGCCATCTGCAGCTCGTCCTCCTCCTTCTGGCGATCTAGATCGGTCAAGCCTGTCTTCTGGGGGGCCGAGGGGGCTTGCAGGGTTGGATTGCTCTGCTTCAGTCGGAAGTAGGCGTCGTACATGATGCCAAGGTCTGCATCTTTGCTGAACATGTCGGACCATTCCTTCATGCGCTCAAGAATCTTGGCCTTAACTTGATTATGGGTGTTGCGGTCGTTTGCGAGTTTGAGCATGGCATCGGTGAATGCTCGGCTGGAGAGCTCTTGGTGCATGTTCTTGCCACAGTTCTGGCTAAGGGCGTTTGCGAGCTGGTGTAGTGGCGATGAGGTCAGCCGTCGGCTCTATGGGCTGGAGATGACGATGATGAGAAGCGGGGAAACTTACCTCGAGAGTATACAGCTGGACGTTGGCGTTGCGATGGGCCAGACGCTTGATCATGGCTTGTACAACCTCCTTGGGGCCATTTTGGTCGCTGCCGACACGGTCGCAAACCTCGATAATGGCTCCCCAGTCTTCCGAGGTAAGGTTCTCGTCGGTCGCCTTGGCTAGACGGAGGACACAGGTTAGCGAGGTGGCAGCAATCACGATACCGATGCCACATACCGACGCCCTCGTCGAAGGGACCAGCAGCTGCTGCTCGGAACATATTGGGCAGAAGCTATGAGCCGCCGCAAGTGGTCTGTACTGGTGACTAAGTTGGAAGATGTCTCGTGACAGGCAGTTGGGTATTCGATGCTTAGTGCCAAGAATGTCTGCGACGAGGCAACAGCGATGAAGGCGTCTCGAAGTAGGAGTGAGCAATGGTGACACACGGCGAAAGGCAGGGGCTAGGTCGGTGATGTTAATGTTGGGTGGGAGAGAGGTTCAGCCAAGTGAGGTAGTTTTGAAAGGTATTGGAGCCTGGTCGGACGTCTGGCCGGTCGAACAGCCTCGCTGGGATTGTTTGTCGGTTGATATCCGTCCCGTACTCCACAAGGCGCGGCAAGGAAGGCGACAGGTAGGTAGAATTGGTCACCGTGAATGCGAAGGTATGTATTCAGTAATGGGTACGTAAGGTCGTTTGCGGTGCCGTTGGGTATTGTTGTAGGGCGAAGAGGCAGGTTTACGCTCAGGTAAGGTAGCCGCAGGTTAAAGCAGGCAAGGTATTCGTAGGCGGGTAGGTAAGGTGAGGTAAGGTATGGGGGGGGGGGCGGACGGACCGACGACAGACATGGACATTGAAGCAGGTGCCACGGTCCATGAGGTAAGGCAGCAGACAGCGGGCAGCAGGAACCTTCCATGCCTACCTGGGCTTAACGTAGCATGAAGTGGGCAGGTGGAGGTACTTTTTAGCTGCCAAATGCGAGGACAGTGACCTGTGCTCCACCGCATCGCAGCCAAACGCGGACAGGTTCTCCGCAGGCCCACTACCTGAGGCACCTCACCTTCGCGCTGGGCCCGTCGTCATCATCATCAACCCGCACACTAATATCTGGCGTTGGGCACCTGGAGGGGGGCTGAGTGGTGTTTCGCCCACGAATTACGCGGACTGCGACTGCGACCGCGACGCCGCACCGCCACATCTGTGGACTGGTTCCATGTCGTCGCCTCCACAAGATTCCGTGCATTCGTCAATCCAGATCCCGTCCGCAACGCCCTTGAACAGAAACGCTAGAACTGTCGTTTAATCAAAGCCGTGCCAATACGATGTTCCTCATTTTATTTTTGCTCGAACCGGTGCTTGCTGGCTAGTTTTAATTTATGTATGGTTCTTAAGGAACCCTGCCTCCCGTTGCCGACTTCCATAGCTTGTTGAATATTGTGGCCCATCAACCTAAAATAGCCTGAGGTCGGGTCTTGGCTTTTGTGTCTCGAGGGAAACGAAGAAGAACGCCCAAGCGACCTCAACCATACTGCGCCGTACGTGCGCCACACACACCGGGGGGGGGGGACTTCAAGCCACATCCGCGACCTCCACCCTGGGCAGTTGCTCGCTTCTGTCACTCTGATACTCTTCGCCGTCGCCGTCCCCTTCTTTATTGTTCATAATTACTGGAATCCGCAACTATCCTCGATCGAAGTAAGTTCTTGGACCTTCCAACTACTAGCCTGTCAGCCAGCCTGCCTGTTTTCTAGCAGTCGAGACGACGACAGAGAAGGCGGCAGAGAAGGTAGCCAACCGCGGAGCATGGTCCTTTTCGACATGCTTGCCTTCGGCGGGACTTGTGTGCGCATGCAGTGACGACGAATGGCTTGGCGAAATTCTAGGAAAAGGTGGACGTTTCTGGTTTGCCAATGACGATAAGCACTGCAAGATGAAGACACCTCTCTGCCTAGACTAGCCTGTGTCTACGCCAACCTCTGACGAAGCGCATTGTCATCAGCGTGTGCTCCTCAGACCAAACCACCCAATTGGAAGGACATCTTCATCATTCACCGTCGTTCCATTATGCCTAAGTTACTACACAAGCTTACTTCTTTCGACTTTGGTGCTGCGCAAAGTGGCGATATTGGATACCCTGCCCCATATGTGTACATCTCAGTCTTTATACATTCTCTATCAAGTCTGTAGTCCTTAACCCCCCTTACTCCTGTCTTCTCTGCTGCCATGTTAAACCCTTGGCCAGCGTGCAAACCAACCAACCAACCAAACGCCTGCGTACCGTACTGCCCAATCATGATGTATGTGTAATGGCGCATTCATTCCTGGCAAGCTTCTGTTCTTGCTGTCATGCCGTCCCGGTTGGCAGTACCCATCACCGGGGGCTCTGGAGATTGCACTGAACTGCTAAGTGTCCATAGCGCTCTGCGTCTCCGTACTCTCGATTGCCAGTGATACAGCTGTCTGGCTCACCAAAAACGTACCGTCTACCATCCTCTTCGGCTGATGCCACGAGGTTCAAAATCGCCGCGGCTTCCCGAGCCAGATCCCACGTTGCCTCCACCCCGGCCTTCCTCCAAACTTCGACGTGACTGCGCGTCCATTTCCGACATATCGAAAAGCAGAGGCTCTTCGTCCATGAGGTCATGTTCGCCACGCCCGTACCGCCCGCTGGATCCCGTAAAACTACCTCGTGATGACTGAGGAGGTGTTTGCCCGCGGCCGCCTGTTGATCCCATGCCGGCATACCGGCGTCTGCCAAAGGGCGAGCTGGACGGTGCAACAGCCATCAGGCCACCTGGTGGCTTGGATCCTTCAGAGGAGCCTTGTCTGATCATGTCCGCCGAGCCTGAAGACTGTATGTCGCCGGTTGGCTGCAAAGATGCCCCCTCTCGGCGAGAAGACGATTCCGCCTCTGTTTGCCTGCCCAGGAGCATGCTGAGCGTCGGTGGCTCACGGTCTTCTGCACCTAAGCTGATGCTGCGGTTGGCCGCAAACGCGAGATCGCCGTCGTCGTCATCTGCTAATGCCCGATTTTGCTGCGCGACAGAGCTCGAACGTCTCGGGTGTATGCCGATTCTCGGAGAGATAGGAATGTCAATTGCAGTGGTGCCATCTTGAGTGACGGTGTCTTCCCTGGGCATCTGCGTTGTGTCGCCACTAGTATTTCCACGCTCGCTGCGGGGCTGGCTGGTGTTGTAGTTGATGATCGAGTTTTCACTCAAACGGGAAGGTACGGCTGGGGTGTGCGGCGTGTGGGGGGAAAGAGGCTTTCCTGGGGAGGACGATACTGAAACTGACGCCGGCGCGGCCATGCTCGGCACATTCGACAATTGCCGGCTAGAAGAGCTTGATGATCGATGCATCTGCATTGAAGACGTCATCGAATCTGTGAGCGCGTTGTTGGACTCCTTCATCATGTGGAACCTGGACAGCTGAGCAACAGTCCGGTTTGTTGCCCATTCGCCCTTCTTGCTGGGCTCGAAACTTTTCAGCGTCTTCTTGCTGTCCAACGCTTTCAAGAATTCAGAGATCTGGTCGTCGTCTGTTTGGAGTGATCCGGAGCTACCGCCCGCTCCTGCTTCAGCAAGAAGACCAGAGCCAGGCTGGGCCACGGACGACGAGAGGCTTTGGCGGCCACTGCTGCTTTGCTCGTCGTCGCCTGTCCTGCTGGGACCGCCGTAGGATAACTTCCCCTTGCGATGGGTGAAGCTGCTGCTGTAACGACTCGTCGATGACGGTCGAGGAGAGCCCAGAACCGGGGCATCGCCGGGTTGAGGGCCGCCGCGCAGAGAAGCAGGCATACCTACTGTCAGTGATCTGCGGTTGCGAGGTTGGTTGAGCGCGTTCAGAGCAGCAGCTCGGGATGCCGGGGATGCTGGTGACTCGGAATCCAACGTACGGGGCACAGGCGACCCGGAGAGGGAACCTGCTTTGAAAGGCTGAAATGAAACAGATGGTCGGCGGCCAGTGCTGCTGAAGCCCTTGATGGATGGTCTTGCTGCCAAACCGGAGACAGGTAAGGAGCTTGGTGGATTTGGCTCGATATTTGGAGTGGTGGATTCTGGTGTTGAACTTGTGTCGGACCCAGGAACTCGCACGGCTTTCAAGGCTGATATGGGGCTGGTGCCCAAAGGACCATCGCCGTGAAAGGTTGAAAGACTGCCATATGTCTGGTGGATGTCTGACAGGTTCCGGCTGCGATGATGCGATGGAAGGGACCCAATTTCAGGGTCGATTCTTCTGCTTTCTCTCCTTTGAGGTAGTGACGGCTTGAAGAAGTTCTCATCCACACCCATGAAGCGAGAGCTCAAAAGCGACTCGGAATCATCCACCCGGAAGTTGCACTCATTCCTGTATGTTACTGAAGCATAGAAGCGGCCCACGGGAATTTCCAAGTCGCCAAACACGTAGTCGGTCACGACGTCCGGGCGGCCATCATACAGCGGATGCCGAAGCCGGTCGATGCCATCATTCTCTGGCTCGCCGGTTCGAATGCGACACCGCGGCTCTAGCGACGGGTGAACGCCTTTGCCTAGCGAGTGTTGCGTGAATTTCCAAACTGGAAGAATTCTTGCCGCAGCGTAGAGCGAACGGAAGAAGACAATGCTCTTCTTGTAAATGGTAGGTAACGTTGGACCAAAGTCATCAAGATCGTTGGTGGGTATCGTTTTCAACTCGATGCGCCATCTCTCCAAGATGACTTCTGTATTCCTCTTGGCAGGCGTGGGACGACCGTCGTCACTCGAGTCGGACGAATTTAAAGCCTCCATAACATCCCATCTCTTCCCATTTTCGTCGACAATAACCAAACTCTGGCTAGGGGTCAGGCGCGAAGTGTCGAGGTATGTCTCAATAATCAGAGGCGGTGGTGTATTCTCGAAGCCGCCGCAGTTCCTCCAGATGCGCAGCTCGTCTTTGAAGTCGTCGAACTCTTCGGTCTCAATTTGAAACTGCGAGAAACACGAAATCAGCATGTCTTGACCCATGACAAACGTATGACCACAGTGACTCACCCATTTGTTCAGCTTCTTGCTCCCAGGCCCGCGAGTGTGGTATGCTGGCTTCAGATCTATACGGGATTGGAGGACGACTGAAGCGGCCTTGGTGTGGAAGTTCTACCCAAAGTCAGCTTCCTTGCATAGGCCACTGTCTCCCCGCGCCCTGCCTACCTGGATGATCTGGTCCAATTTCTTGACGGCGTCGGCCGGAGGACCAGCACCCGGAGGAGTTTCGGCGGTCGAGGAGCTGGCAACGGCAGATTCTCGGCCAGAGGTTTCGGACGA